CTAGACCCTTTTCTGATGAAGGGTCTAGGCCCGAAACGTCAGCCTCTCTGCTCCTATGATGCTGCTTGGCCTGCTGTGTTCATCCAGCCCTGCACCTTGTTGTCTCGGGTTCTCCAGCATCTGCAGTTCCTACTATCTCTGCATCTGAGATGATCAGCTTCCAAAAACCACAATGTTGCTGGGACTGGAGGGTTTGAATGGGCTAGGACCTTTTTCACTGGAGTGTAAGAGGTTGAGGGGTGACCTTGTTTATCTATGCCTCTTGTGATTTTATAAGGTGAATAGCAAAGGTCTTTTCCCTGATGTGGATGAGTTCACAACTAGACGGGGGGCATATTTTTTAAGATGAGAGAAGAACGATTTAAGGGGCAACTTCTTCTACTGAGGGTGGTTCGTATGTGGAATGAACTGACAGAGGAAGTAGTAGATGCAGGTACAGTAACAACATTTAAAAGACACTTGGACAGATACATGAATAGAAAAGGTTTAGAGGGATATGGGCAAAATGCAAGCAAGTGGGATTGTTTAGGTTGGGAAACCTGGTCAGTATGGATGAGTTGGACCAAAGGGTCTGTTTCCATGCTGTATGACTCTATTTTCCTTTCCCTAGGTATGAATCTAAGTTGCATTTTGCAAAACTAATACCAGAGCACTAGAAAACTAGTGGTTCACAATTCAAAGGAATTATTTCTTGCCACAAGTTGCTGGTGAATTTGTATACTAGTTAGTGTCAGCCCACTGCCCCTGAGGTGGTATTAACAGCTACAGGGCAAAGAAAGTCTGGGTCATTGACACTACCAAGTCAGAGGCTATCCTATTGCATTTTTAAGCACGAGATAAAGTGTACAATGAGAGACTTTATCTTGGTACTATTTAAAGGAACATCAACCTGCTGTAATGAATATAAAGTGCAGATTCTTAAAGCTTCAGGTCTATACAACATATATGCCTTTACTGTAAAATAATGCATTTAACGGGTAATCAAGAAAGAGCACATTTTCCCTAATTTAGTCTTCCTCAAACACAGATTCTTCAGTTGACGGGAAAGGAGGTAACCTGTTCCAAAGTCTCAGACATCAATTATGCTTAATGAACCATGCAGATATGTGTACGTCATTGATGTACTTGTGTATTCTCACCAACCCAATAAAGAAGTGCCTCATTTCCATTTGATGGCCAATCAATCATAAATTCAAGGTATAAGGATATATAACTAAGAATCAGCCTGCCAACAAATGAAATTGCTTCATTACTTGGGACATTTTAATGCATTAAAAGGCATAAAATAAATGCAAGTTGTTGTTTTCACCAGGGAAATGTCAAAACATTATCTCATAAAAGTTATGGAATTTTGAGATAGAACATAATATTTTCTTTGAAGGTATAATTATATGGACGAGTGCCTTGTAGAGAACAAGTTTGCTTGCAGCATGAACAATAATTCAACTATCTTTTGCAATAACCATATTCATTGTTGACTAAAACATTCAGAGTTAGCCATTGTTACAAGCCATTAATCATTGAACTCCGAATTACAAATCATATATTAAATTGATGCAGAGTGCAGCACACAGCTAACTAATTGGCAAAGCTGCAACATTCAAAATACATGTGAAATTTTGTCAAAATAATAATTGCTTCTTTTCAAAGTCACTATTCACTTTACTTTATTAAAGCCTTTTGCTGTAACTTGTGAAGGGGGTTTTGCTTCTGAAGGACAAACAAAATGCTCTAGAGACAGTATCAATAACAAGTGAAAGTGCAAGCTTTTCTCAATTTTAAGAAGAGGTACAAAAATTAAAGTTATAGTTCTGGTCCAACTTCACCCTCGTAATTTCATGCAACATTTTTATTAGCATTCACAAGTACAGAAACGTGCCAATGTTCATACCTGATGAGCCAGGTGAGCTCCAACAGCCACCACAGCAGTGTAGTAGGGTAATGTCTGTTCACTGTTTAGTCCTACCACCGTCAATCCTGTCAGCATGACTGTGCTAAATCCAATTAGCCACTGCTTGGTCTGTTCTTGAAACTTTAATGCAGTTGATTTCACTCCTACTACAGCATCATCTGTTTTATCCTAAATACAGAAACTTAGAATAAAGTATTCTCACAAATAGTCTGTTGCTTCTCAAACGAACTGTTTATCATCACATAAAAGGTAATGTCACCATAATCCTACTGCACCATAGGGTGGCTCTCTAATTAGACAGAAATGACTGGTGGTGGTTTAACCAGAAGGTCACCATGGCAAGGGGTTACCCTTCATGGTAATCTCAGTCAGTGCAGGAATTGAACCCATGCTATTGGTATCACAGTGCATCACAAATACACAAAACGTTGGAGAAACTCAGCAGGTCTAGTAGAAACAGTTATCATTTTGAGTCTGGTTTGACTCTTCTTCAAAGAGTTCTATTGTTCAGTTCTGAAAAAATGTCATACTGTGCTCAAAACATGATCTCTGTTTTGCTCTCCACAGATGCTGCCAAGCCAGTTGGGTTTTGCCAGCATTTTGTGCATTTATTTCAGATTTATAGCATCCACAGTACAGGCGACCCTTAGGTTGTAAACTGGTTCCATTCTGGAATGCGTTTGCATGTCAATTTGTTCTCAAGTCAGAACACAATGCAGGACAATAGAAAGCAGCTGTCTGAGAGTACGTCAGGTCTTTAAAATTATAACCAAATATTACTACGAGCGTTCATAAATTGGGAGCCCAAACCCCCAAGTATTTTGCCTTTGAGTTGGAAAACCACCTTGATTATAGGGGCACTCATATAAGGAACCAAGATCCCTCACAAGTAGAAACAACGAATGTCTACACAGTTGATTTATACGGTATGCATGGTATGAAATAAAAGTCCAATGACAATATTTTTAAACTAAATTAGCTGCACAAAAATCGACACTAAAGGCAGTGATCATTTTAATATAGGTTGCTGAAATGCTACTGCTGCTGAATTTGGCAGCTGAACGAACTTAATTACATTTTGAAACTGAAAGTAAGTTCTCCATATGCTTTAATTAACATTTGTTACAACATAAAACAGTACAGGACGGGAACGGACCCTTCGGCCCATGATGTTGTATCGAACATGATGCCAAATTAAACTCATTTCTTCTGTCTGCCCTTGGTCCATATCCCTCCATTCCTGGCATATTCATGTGCTTATCTAAAAGTCCAGTGAACATCTTTATTGTATCTGCCTCCACCACTACTTCTGGCAACACATTCCAGACTGCTACCGACCACTCTGCGTTAAAAAACAAAATTGTCCCTCACATCTCCTTTGAACTTTTCCCCCTCTCACCTTAAATGCATGCTTGCTAATATTAGGCATTTCAACTCTGGGAAAAAGATTCTGACCATCAACCTTATCTATGCATCTCATAATTTTATAGACTTCCATCAAGTCTCCCTTTAGCCTCTGCTGCTCCAGAGAAAATAACCTGAATTTTCTAGCCTCCCCTTATAGCTCATGGCCTCTAATCCAGGCAGTATCCAGGTAAACCTCTTCTGCACCCTCTCCAAAGCTTCCACATTTGTTGTTTTTAATGCCAACATCACATGTTAAAAAGATAAGCTATAAATTAAACACAGCAATCTCCATTACATTCTGTAATCACATATGTTATACTGGATGAGCGGAAGAACCCTTCTGAAAAGTCAAGCCAGGATACACTAGGTGGTATAACAGTTGGATGCAGCCCATTAGCACTGTGACAGAAACAGAGGTCAATTTGACCCTGCTGGTTGCTAAAAGCAATAGAAGCATTTGAACAAATTGTAATGTTAGATTAACAAGTAAATCACAAATTCACAAAAGACCTAAATAAGGCCTAACAAGTCAAATTTCCCAAATAATTAACTTGGCTTTAAAACACAAGAAAAACATGACAGATTTCAATACAAGATATTTTGTATGGAACTCTATTATTTATATTCGATGTGCAACCCTAACTCTTCCCTTTTGGCAGATGCACTTTTTGCTGGCTTGGTGCTACTTGAATCTTCCCAAACTCCTCAATCTTTCAACATTTCTCTCCTAATTTAAGATCCTCCTTAACCCATCCCTTTAATCAAGGCAACACTGGTCATAATCTCCACCTTTGGAATGGTTTCAATTTTACCCTCGCACTGTCAAAGCACCTTGGGTTATTTTTCTAATCAAATGCTATATAAATCTAAGCTGCTCGCATTCTTTTGGACAATGCCATTGCTGCAATGCCGTTATTGCTGTTCATGGCTAACAAAGTCCAATTAGGTTTTAGCATCTGTTGTGGTGTTGATAATCCAAACAAGAAGTTGCAAAATTGAAATTTAGATGAATTTTAATTTATAATCTTACCTGATGTGCATAAATAGTGTCATATATCAATGTCCACATGATACCAGAAATATAAAGTGGTAGGCAGATTGACCAATCACAGGAGCCCTTCACAGCAGACCACCCTAAAAGTGTTCCCCAGTTGAATGCAAGACCTATAATCAATAATTCAGAAGAAACCTAGAGATAAATTTCAGTAGAATTTTGTGAAAAGAATTAGAGGCAGGAATTGATTGAAAATTTGTGCTAGAAAGTGGGTGGAGGAGTGTATTACAGTAGGTAGCTAGTTGGCAGCCTGTCTTATAGCACCTATAGCATCTACTTGAGAAGATAAAATCTGTACAAGGTGGATGGGTTGGACCCCATAAGGACCAAAACCAATATCCTCAAAAGGGGTGTTTGCTAGTGGAGTGGGTGGCTTTAAATAAGCGTTGCAGGGGAATAGAACTTAAGTGGGGAGAAAACAGCAAGGGGAAAAATATGGAAATGAAAAACAGAAAAGTAGAAAGCAAAAGTAAAGGCAGATGAAACAACAAAGCAACAACGTAACATCAAAATATGCTTAAATTCTTTTACTATTAGGAAGTTAATGTGAAGATTATAAAACTTCATTAAGCAAGTTTAGGCAAACGAATTTGACATTACAATGGTGTGTACACAGTTCATGCACTTACTAACATATTTGCAGTCTTTAATATCATAAACACACAAGCAGAGTTCTAGTACAATTACATAAATAAATTCTTCTGCAGAAGGAAGTACTTTCAATTTAAAGTACTCTCATTCTACTTCCTCATTTTCTGTAATTATTTGTTCTTCTATTGTTGGGAGATGCCACAAATTAAATCATTTCCTGGTAGTTTGATAGATTGCTTTGTATTGGATTGAGATCCCCTAATGTCACTCAGGCAAATCATTCACCAAGATATTACCAGTTGGAATATGGATCTGTATACTCCTTGACATTTAAAGCAAATGCAAGAGTTGCAGAATAACTAAAAGTATCTGTCTAAGTTTATTAGATTTTTAAATTGCATTGGAGTTCATTAAGGCAATTCAAAATGTATTTCTGAACTTGAATAACAAAGTGAACATTCTTATTTTTAAAAAAACTCAACAACTTTTCTTATTTCAGACAATTTATCTACAGCTGTGTATTTTTAGAGTTATGTATTTCCTGGAAGACCAAGAACTCTCAAATAATTACATACCTAGAATTAGTTGTGGCCAATATGTTAATCTCTTCGTTAGTGGGTAAGTGACCACTAGTCCCAGCGATGCAGCTCCAAGCACAATACTGTCAAAGAAAAGGAATGTGCATCAAATATTACATAGCAAAAGTACAAGATGATTAAAGTCAACTGGATTTATGCTGATATAGGTCATAGATTGCTTTCTCCATAAACAGATTCATCGTCATATGAAAATCTTTGGGGAGGTTTGTAGCACTGCTCCAGGTTTCTATCAAGGTTGTGGTAGATTGGGGAACCCATGCTGAAATTCTGTCCAGTAAAGAAGTTTCTGGTTCTGCACAGATTAGGTTCAACGTATGACTAGTCGTAGCTAACTTTAAAAAGTATACAGTCCAATGCAGAAGAAATTGTACACACTTAAAGCTTGGTACATGAATAGCAAATGTTCCTTTTTCACATAAGTCTTAACAAAACCATTTTACAAATCTGTTTGATATGTAAAGATAAACAACATCTGCAATGTATTCCAAACAAAAACTGATCTATTATTTATATAGATGAATTGTTCAAGCCAATGATTTAAAAGTAAAACTAAATTGGTAATAGAAAAGGGTGTTGTTGATAACATTGTTTGATTAGCAATTCATTCATTAGCCTAAATATCCATCCCCGACGACACTGATTAGTGTGCACTACAAGATGCTTTACAAAAACTCAAGGGCTCTTTTAACAGCACTTCCTAAACCCACAAACTCATGACTTAGCAGACAAAGGAATGATGTGTGCGAGATTAAAAACCTCCAAGTCATATACAGGTCATTTGGATACAAAACCACTGGTTGCTTGTTGTTGGGGAGAAAAAATTCTGGGATATGGGATTACTTTCACCGCACATACAGCAGTGGTTCAAGACAGACCACCACTATCATTTCAAATAATAGGCAAGAAAAGTAAGCAGTACCCAGATATGAGAAATGGATGCAAGTACATGGGATGGTATGAGCCTGGGATAGATACACACATATACACACACACATTATTATATATACACATACATATATACAGCAAACTTTGTTTTAACTGGCACGTAATGAACTGCACTGTCGATAAACCAGCAAAAATTATGTACCCGAGATATCAGAAGTTTACTGAACTATCACGATTTCCATGATGTCCGAGTGTCAGTTGAGGGTGCAAGTCTTAGTGAGAAGTTAAGTTTTATTTCAGGCAAAGTTGCATTATTATTTAAGTGAGTTATGCTGTAAATAAAGTACAGCAGTGATGTGCATGCCCCCTGCATTATGTTTCTATTATTTAGTGTGTGTTTTTAAATTGATTATGTGGACCTCTTGATCAACCAGAATATTTGAACAAACTGTACACTCCTTGTCCCAGTGGTGCCAGCTCATAAAAAGTTTGCGCACGGGTGTTGTGTCCTATTTGGGCACTTGTTGCAAATGAGGGGCTCTCTTAAACTGGATGAAAGCACCAGCCACTTAATTGATTGCCAGCATAAAATGCAGCCCTGGGCTTTGTAACTTAGTAAATCAGGCTTCCCTTCTAAGAAGACCATGACACCATATGAAATAGGAACACAAATTGGCCATTCAGCCCCTCAAGCCTGCTCTGCCATTCAATACGATCCGACATTCCTCACGTCCACTTTCCTGCCTTTTCTTCATATTCTTGGTTTTCTTACTGATCAAGAATCTCTCTCTCAGTCTTAAAATACACAACGAGTCTGCCCCCACAGCTCTCTGTGACAAGGAGGTCCAAAGTCTCACAACTCTCAGAAGAAATTCCTCCTCATCTCTTATGCTCTCTGGTCCTAGACTCTCCTTGAGGGAAACATCCTTTCATCACTTACCTTGTCAAGGCCCTTAAGAGTCCTAAATATTTCAATGAGATCACCACTCTAAACTGCAGTGAGTAGAGTCCCCAACTGCTTCTAGCTCCAGGATCCCTGCCACCTCCAGATAATCCCAACTAACATATCAAGACCCTAACCTTTCAGCAGATGTCAGGATCATTGACTACTTTTCTCCAGATACTGCCAGGACTGCTGATAATTTCCTGTAATTTCTGTTTCTTTTCAGATTTCCAGCATCCACAGTACTTTCCTTTTATCATCAGACTAATCAGAACATCAGCCAACATTTCTTCCATCTAGTCCATGTACAGAAACCAGTGTGAGCTTCACTTGCCTGTAATCATTTAAGCACAGGAGAACTGCAAGAGCCAAACTCAGTTGACCACTCAAGAAGACCAGGGCCTGTAAACGACTGATTTCTCCAGCAGCTATAGGCCGATTTCCAGTTCTGGCAACCTATTCAGAGTCATCAGAGAAAGATAAGACAATTAACAAGGATCCTTGAGAAGAAATTTTAAACACAGCACCAATAGGCATTAAGATGACAGTAGTCAATAATCGCTTAAGCAACAAAAACAGAAAATACTGGAAATATTCAGCAGATCAAACAGTACTTGGGAAGTTCAGGAGAGAAAGGAACTCTAAATCCCCTCCACCTCAAATTCTGTATTCCTGATTCTAGCTTTATTTTTAAACAAAATACTCTCCCACTCCATAAGTAATAAGAAACAATTTTCTCTCTGAAAATCAGGAAATAGAAATTTTATCATATGCATAGAAACAAGGAACAAGAAGTGTCAAAAAGAGTGTGTTGTGGGTGTAGTTCATAGGCCCCCTTCACATAAAAGAACTTACAAGTTGTCAAGTCCCTAAGTACGGATACCTGGACTGTGATAGAAAAGCAGAGCCTAAAAACACTAGCAAATGAGATCTTAGTCAGCGAATAAATTGGCAAACAGACAAAATTAAAAGTTCTTTAAATGCATGTAGCATTCTTAACAAGACGAATGAACGGATAGCACAATAAAAAGTGAATATAATACAATATCCACCGGAGACAAAGCTGGATCATGAATATTCAAAGTTAATTCATTTTGGAAGGACAGGATAAAAGGAATGAGAGATGGGGAAAGCTCTGTTACTAAAGGATGATATCAGTACAGTAGTAAGAAATTATCATGGCTCAGAAGCTCAAGATAAAGAATCAGCTTGAGTGGAGTTAAGGAATAGTTAAAAAATATCACTGGTGTGAGTACGTCATCTAATGTAGTAAAACTTAGTATAAATGAAGAAATAATGGGAGCTTATAAGAAGGGTACTGCAATAATTATGGAATGATTTCCACCTTCATTTAGATTGGAAGAATCAAATTGACAAAGGTAGCCTTAAGTATGAGTTCATACAGTGTATTCAAGACAGTTCTGAAGAACAATACATTCTAGAAGCACTCAGTGGAGGCTGCAGTAAGCCCAGTAATGTATAATGTACAATTTATGGCTTCATTGTAACAGATCCACAAGGCAAGAGTAATCATTACATGATAGAATTTCATGTTCAATTTTATTGCAAGAAATATTGGTCTAAAACCTCTATCTTAGATTAACTGCTCAGTTAAGCAACTTTGATATTAAAATTCTTACCATGCTTTTCAAATTCATCCATGGCCTCTGCCTCGCCCTGTAATCTCCTTTAATCCAATAAACTTCCAAAATATCTGCACACTTCCATTTTCAGCCTCTTGAGCATCCCTGATAGAGTCATAGAGTAATACAGCATGGTAACAGGCCCTTCAACCCAAACTGGTCTGTGCTGACCTTGGTGCCCACTCAGCTAGTTCCAATTGCCTGCATTTGGTCCATATTCGTCTAAACCCTTGCCATCCATGTACCTATCCAAATGTTTTTTAAAATGTTGCTATTGTACCAGCCTCAAACACTTTCTCTGGCAGCCCATTCCATATATGCACCACTCTCTGCGTAAAGAAGTTGCCCCTCAGGTCCTGCTTAAATCATTCCCCTCTCATCTTAAGCCTACGGCCTCTAATTTTCAATCACCCATCCCAGGGAAAAAGACTATATGCATTCATCCTATCCATGCCCCTCATGATTTTATACACCTCAGTAATGTCAACTCTCATTCTCCTACGTTCCAAGGAATAAAGTTCTATCCTGGCCAACATCTCCATATAACTCAGGCCTACTAGTCCTGGCAATAACCTCGTAAATCTTCTTTGCACACTTTCCAGTTTAACTACGTCTTTCCTATAATAGGGTGACCAAAACTGTACACAATACTCCAAATGCAGCCTCACCAACAACTTATACTCAATGTCTCGATCGATGAATGCCAGCATGCTTAATAACTTCTTCACCACCTGTCTACCTGTGACACTGTTTTCAACAAGCTATGTACTTGTCCTCCTAGGTCTTTTCACAACACTCTTTTCCAGAACACTCCTCAGGACCTTACCATTTACTGTACAGGTCCTATCTTGGTTTGACTTCCCAAAGTGCAACACCTCACACTTACCTGTATTGAATTGCATTTGCCAATCCTCAGCCCACCTCCCCATCTGATCAAGATCCCTCAGTAATTTTTGATAACTTTCCTCACTATCAATTCCACTTCTGGTCATGGCTTCATTTACCAAAGCCCTAAGGCCTGGAATTCCCTCCCTATACCTCTCTGTCACATTATTCTCCTCCTTTATGATGCTCCTTAGAATCTATAAGCCTTAGCTTAGTTAGTTAGGTGGCCGGCAAACTACTCACACCAGTAACTTTTCTTTGCCTTTGATTGCGTTGACCAAGATTTTGGCCATTTATTATAATCAATGATTAGGTTTCCTGGTTTTTACCCAGGTAGCCCAAGATTCAACTCCTTATATGGGAATAAAATCAGTCATGGTTCAGTTGTGGCATACTTGCCTCAGTTGCATGGTACTAGGTTCAAGTTCCACTCCAGACCATATGCACAAGAATCCAGGCTGACCTCCAGTGCAGTACTGAGGGAGTGCTGCACTGTCAGAGATGCTGCCTTTTGGATGACACATTGAGCTGGAGTCCCAACTGTCTGTTTGAATGGATGTAAAGGTCCAATGGCACTACTCAGAAGAGCAGAGGAGTCATCCCTGGCATCCTGGCCAACATTCACCCCACAATCAACATTACAAAAAACAGATTATCTACTCATTCCTGTACTGCTCTCTGTGGGAGCTGAGTGAAAATTAGCTGCTGTGATTCTAATATTAGTGATTATGCTGCAAAAGAAAAAGTACTTTATTGGCTGTAAAGAATTTTGAGATGTCCAATGGTTATGAAAAGATGCTAAACAAATACAAGTGTCTGTATATGTTATTCAATATTAAAAGGGTGTCATATAAACATTAGTTGTTGACAAAAATGGAAGAAATCAACAAACTTCTTGCTTTTGGTGTTGAAGTGAATGTGGAGGGAGAAAGGTTTTAAGGGCTGATTGGTTACTGTATCATGGGGTGGGGAGGCATGCAGGGAGGGGTCCATTAGCTCAGCTGGCTGGTTTACAATGCAATAAGATGCCAAAAGCATGGGTTCAATTCCTGCACTGGCTGAGGTTACCATGAATGCACTTTAAACCTGTAGAAGGACTGAAGTTAGAGTGGACTTCCAACTTCTTTCCAAGGGCAATCACCCACATCTAATAGACTTTGGTTTAGAGATGTGATCAAGGATTTACCGTCAATGTACGTGAGAGTACTTTGTACTACATGAAATCTCTCTTATCTCGCTGAGCAACGAATCATTTTATCTGCTTACACTTGTGTCTAGATACTTAGATGCATACATATCTTGCACATAAATAGTGAGTCCCGAGTGGTTATGCTAGAGGTATGCATTATTTGTATAGACAGATATTTGCTAGCACAGAAGTTGAATATTGCTAAAAAAAAACAAGTTTTGTTGAAGTTTTTGTCTTGCATGCAATAGGACACTTTACAAGAAATTGTAATTACAATAAGGGAAAACAACCTTTTTACACTGTTTGAGAAGAGTTATCAGTTGGAAAATTGACTCTGATTGGTATAAATATTTCCAATGAGAATTCACCAGTTACAGAATGACTGACAGTTATCTGCCAAGCTTCGTTTAAATTTAAACCAAGCAGGTTGACTCTAATTGGTCTAGGCACTAGACGGAGAAATGGGAAAGGAAGGCTGTGTAATTTGTTTC